ATTTTGACCAGAGTCCTCATTTGTAGTGCTTGAAATACGTTTCGCAATTTCCATTTTATTTTGCACAGAATCCTCGACATATCCTTCTGCAACCATTGTGGACTTCCAGCCTCCGTGCCGCTCCAACATGGTAATGTCAGCTCCGGTGTTGGCTAATAAAGTTGCCGAAGTACGGCGAAAACAGTGGCCGGTATAAAATTCAGTTTGAGGTAGGGTAGACCAAGCTATCATACTGCATCAAAATGCCCCTATTTTATTTATGCCAACAACTTGGTTTGTGCACTTTCCTTTCTGATAGTTGATGAAGAATGGTTTGCAGCCCACATGAGGGGGCCGAAATTCTGCATATGTCCGGAATATTCGAATGTATTCAGGATTGATGATTGTGAATATTCTTTGGCCATTAGTTTGAGTATCTGGAACAGTGATTATTAACACGGATCCTTCATCTTGAATATCATCAACGGTCATTTTGACAAGCTCATCACGTCGGAGCTCCAGAAACTCCAATGATGAGCAGAACTTTGGACAGAAGGTAAGAGTCATCTGGAGCAGTAGTTAGACATTTGGAAATATCCGCACTTGTGAATACCTTGGATTTTTTTGCTCGATATCCTACCATCTGTTTTTTGAGGAATGGGACTATCTTCAAGTATTTTGTAACATCTACGTTTTCTTTAACGTTTAAGGTGGACTTGAGCATGGAGTACCTAAGTAGACCCTTTTACAGATTTTGCCTTTTCAGCTAAATAGGCCAAAAGAACGTTTTCACTTGCCGATCCAACGTTTTTTTCTTTTCGATATTTGAGAAACTGATTATGTGCTTTTTCATAATGTATTCTGGACTTGGATGGAAGAAGGTCTTGTACTGCCTCATATGCGACTTGCGCAACATCTGGTGGAGTACCAGATATTTCTATTTCTTCATCTGAAGATAACATTTTGTGAATCGAAATTCTTTTTGACAAATGTCAAACATTTACACGTAGATACGTCACATACCAGTATGATACCAGTCACATACCAAACGTTGCTTTGTAAATTTTCTTACTTGAAAGCAAGTATTTATACATAATCGCAAAACTCATTGTAAAATTTCAGATACTGCAGTTGTAGAAAAAATAATGTATACAACTCGGTTGCGAAAGAATTTCGCGGCTTCGCTTCATATTATGACTCGGCTTTGCCTCGTCATAATATTTGCTCATGCGCGAAATTCTATTTCGCAACCTTGTTATATAAATAACTATATATTAACGGGTTCGTCGTCGTGCACTCCATATATTCCCAAAATTGTTATTTTCCTTCCGAACATACATACATTTAGTTTTATTATTGTTTCGTTTACTGCTTCCCATGATGTTATATATGTTTTCTCTATTTTCTATGTGTGAAGATCGATACTCTTCGATTGATATGCAGGGCATGTAATTTGTATCCTGTAATATTACATTATGGCTTAGGGTATTGATTTACGTAAAATCCTTTTTTGTATATTATTGTCACTTGCATCTTGTACTCTCATTGTGTTTTGTGCCTCACTGTTGTTCACTTTTATAAAATCTGCTCATCAAAAAAAAAATTGCATAGTCAGCAGGAAATACATTTTCCTACTCGCGTCATTTGCGTGCGGAAATTGGTACTTCGTCACACTTAGATGTCTTGTCGCAACCGTTGTTACCCACGAACATTACAATATTATAATGATTTTGCTCAATGTTGGCTCAAAGAAACATATTTCGCTTTCTTTGTATGGAATTTATTAAAAATCTGTTGTCCGATGTAATGTAATGGTGATGCCACCCACATAAAAATATTCTCTTGTCAATTGTTTCAGATATTTTTGTATGCTCAAATTGTAAACATGATGCCCTTCTGAGCAAAAATATCACGCTTACGTAATGCCACTACCCACTTGGCTTGTGGGTGGTACAATTGGGGGATGTTCTGCTGCATTTGAAGCTAAATTGATGTTGTTTTTTTCTATACTTTCCATACTTTCATTCGCCTACACTTTTCGTGGGAGTATGAAATACTATTGCTAAAAAATTAATTTTATGTAGAAAGTTCATTCTATTTCCTATGTATACTAAAGGGTAAAATAAATCTCAAGTTATTCATTTCGCACCATTCAACTTAGTTTATAGACGAGAACTTTTATTATTAAATTGGAATGGCTTAGAACATTCCTACTTATAGATCAAAAATAGGGGCACTGCAATAAATACAGATGAAATACTATATGGTTATGGTATTTTATAGGGTTCACGTTCATACTATTCTCAAGGGCTCCCTAATAAACTATATAATATTGCCCCTATGGGAGAGTCATTGTCCTGTTAAGCCATAGTAAAATAATTTCTCTGAACTAAATTCTCAAAAAATACCGTTATATTTATATGTATATTTTGTAGGAAATTAAATTAATTCTATTTATTGAAAACTAGAAAAGCTACTAATAAGTAGTAACTTCTTCCTGCAAAAACAAATATACTTGGAAAAGTACCTATATTTTGAAATTTGCATCGGTTGCTTTACTAGCAAAAAATTCGAAACTTTTACTTTCCCTTTAATTCTATTTAATTTCATTATTGTGAAAAACATTGTAGCGGAAACTGATAAGAGTCCTGTACTTTATAGGACTATCTGTCTGCTCTTACTTAATATTTACAGCTTTTTGGGACAATTTCTGACGGTTTTTTGCTCTTAGAAGTACAATCCAACGAATCAAAAGCCAATAATATTGAAAATTTCAACTATTCCTGGATGTATAATATAGTGTTGTTTTAAGTGTTTAAAACGATAATAAATAAATTTAACTATATATAGTGCAAATATTTTTCTACCATTTAACCCACTGGAAAATCCTTTAAATAAATGATTGTCACTATTATTGCAATAGGATTCATTGAGCAACACAATTTGAAATAGATAAGACACACATGATACAGTTCCTACTATGTTTGTGATTATTTAGGCTTTATTGAAGTTGAATTAACAAAATCAACAATTAAATTATCAAACATATTGTTTGATTTTCAGCATTTTTACTTATTTCAATAATCTAAATTAGAAAGAATTAGTTAATTAAACTAATAATTAGGTTCTAAAATATTCTCATATCGTACGCAATGAGTATGATTTAACCATGTTACATACCTACATTATACCTGATACACACCTAATAGGTGGGAATTTGCTGATTTGAACCGTTATATGACTAAACAATTTGCTCAATAAAATTTTGCAACATTTTTTTTTTTGCAAGCCTTATAGATGTCAACGACCTCGTCTATGAACTTGTTTGTCATATCGTAGTTATTTCTTGAAACATTCACAAAACACTAATTTCACTTAGTAATTAATTGGCTTATTGATAATTAATACTCTGTCTGTTAGGGCATTACATAACAACATATGAAAATCAGGTCATATGATCTCCCCTGCATGATTAATAATTTTGCAAGAAATATAACTGGCCCTGAGTGAAAGGAGCTTGTTTTTGGTACAAATTAAAAGGGGAATGACATCGTTCCACACCCAAGTCAATGTTTTTCGATTATTGATGATGTCACTGTATACCTACATAGAGTTTCCATTAAAAAGTTTTCCTGTGTGACAAAGCCACAGAGATGATTCACGGAAGTAGCTGTATGTCCTGAGCATGCATTGAATGATTATTCATAAATAATTTCGATTTTTACATAATAGAAATTATATTTTTAAACATGAGCATTGAAAAATGTATAATATTTAATAATAAATATCCTGGATGTTACCGGAAATGTTCAAGGTAGTAGTAGTAGTAGGCTATAGTAGCTATGTTAGTTATTTATAAAAAAAGGTAATTGAAGTGGTAATAATTTAGGCTTAATCTATATATTTGGCTGTTGTATGTAAAATAATACAGCAACTATAACATAAAATATCTACTAAGATTAGATGTTTATTTAAACAATTTCCTAGAGTTTCAAAAATTTGCCAAACCAAACAAACAAGGTTGGCTGAAAACTTGGATAATTTCCAGTAGATTTAAAATCAATAGAATTCGCACTAATATACCTCGAAAAAAGAAAATTATCTAATTAAGCGCGATATGGTTGGTGCAGTAAGGCCAAACAAAACACGAATGAACTGAAAAATTTCTATGGGTCGTTCATGACATGAGACTGTGAACATTGAATAACTTTGCGTCGATTTTGTCATTCAGTTTCCCGTTGGCTACCATTAATATTGATGCATTTCGATAAGGTCGTGGGAACTGGTTCAAGTAAATTTCATAGTTGCAAGGCCTATATTTACTATCAACTTTATTTGGTATGTAATGTCTTCATTTAAGTAAATGGATGCAAAACAAAGTATACCTAGTTAGTATAATAATTTATTTTGTAGATATCTATTTGGATTATTACCTTTTATTATTTTCATATATTCATACATAATTAAGTACCTAAATGTACTGAGAATAGTCCGTTCATAAAGTCTATAGACTTTTTCTAGTGCATGATCTGAGATTTTGGAGGCTGATTGGCTAAAATTAGGGGATCGACTTGGGCGACCAGCGCTCAATTTAAACGATTAACCGAAGGCCCTATTGAGGCCCCAAAATCTCAGATCATGCATTCGAAAAAGACTATAGACTATGACCAAGTTACATCCCACATGAAATATTTTGCTACACATGTAGAAAATATTTTATTAACTTTATCCATTGTCAAAACCATAGATAATTGTGCCTGGGATAATCCCTTGCTAAGTCTAATTAATCTAAGGATTCAGTTTTAGTGTAAAGTCAGGTAAACTTTTTTTTTTCATCTGATTTGATCAACGATGTTCTTTTTATTTGCACCTCCAAATTTTCAATTCTTGCAAAAAATAGATAGTTGCACGTTGCACTGATTTTCTAAGGAAATACAAATTCTGAGAAGGTGCAGTCAAATGGAAACTCCACGCACCATTAAAGCACTGAAATTCCTATTGGAAATTAGTCAGATCAAGTCATGTTTATAGAATATTTTGTTAAACAAATCAAGAATGAAATCTTGATGATTAAGGTTGGGTAATCACATTTTCAACTTCAATGTTATATCAATTTGTCTGTTTTTTTTTTCAGAGGCTAGCCTACAATTCAAAGGAAGTAAACAAACTAACTCGTATGGAAGTGGAAAATTTTCTATTTAAATTGATCTTACAACAGTTGCAGGACCAACACCTGGCTATTCGAGATGACTATAGCAAATTAGAGGTAGAATTAGCTGATGTTACTAAGAAATATAATATCTTAAAAAATAGCGAATTTTTACTTTTGGCCTCCTCAATGTTCGATAACAAGGATTCCTACACTACCAAACTGAAAAAAGAATCGGTCATTATAGTAAAGCCAAAAAAGGAGCAAAATAATCAAGATACTAAGAAGGAAATTAGACATCGAGTTAAGCCTGGAGGGTTTGAATATTTCAAGGTTTCGTCAAGCCTCAAATGGGGCTGGGATTATAGGCAGTGAGAATTGCGAGCATGTTGCGACAATAACTATACACAAAAATGGAAGCTGACTCAAAAACCAACAGCATATTGCTTAATCGAGGTCGTGTGCACATTGAATGGTCCAGGGCTGTTGTTTTTAACCATATCATATAAGTGTCCTGCAATGCTACAAATGTATGGGCTATAATCATTATGCTAAGGATCGCAGGGTGGAATCTCCAGTGTGTTCAAAGTGTGCGGGTAATTATGCATTTACAAAATGTGAAGCAACAGGGGCACTGAGATGTCTGAATTGTATTAACAAAAATAAAAATGGCAAGAATATGAAGTTAGACACAGCCCATTCAGTTTTAGATTGGAAGTGTCCTGTCAGAGACAGAAAGGTGGACTATTTTACCCAAGCAGATGAAGACTAATATCCATTCCACATTGACAAGAAAACATGCAAAAAAGACCCATTTTAAATCTTACTCATCTAAACCTGAGGTCGATTTTCTCGAAGTCAGCAATTTGGTATAAACTTAGGATCCTGACATCATTGGTGTGACAGAAACTTGGTTGAAGAACAATACAGCATCCGAAGTAGTGGCCATTCCGGGATATAATTTTTATAGGCAAGACCAAGCGATCGGAAGAGGAGGTGGTATAGGTTTATATGTAAAATCTGAACTGCACTGTGAGTATGTACAATTGTCAACTCAGCTAACTATTCCAGGGTTTGATTATTTACGGATAAGAATTAAATTATGTAACAATAACACAATGGCTGTTGGTGTCATATACCGTACTGGTAATAATGTTTTAGAGCGTGTTGAAGCATTGGACATATTCTTGCCTGAAATTCTGCCTGTAGATAATTATATTATAGTTCTTGGTGATTTAAATGTTAACATGTTTAATATTTTGAACAGGGTTCAATTATTTTGACAGTTTCGGGTTCTCCCAAATTATTGATGAGCCAACTAGGATTTGCAATCAAACGGCTACATTATTGGACCCAATTTTTGTTAATACTAGAGATATAGTTGAGGCTTCCCATACAATCGATGCCAGCAGCTTAAGTGATCATATGTTAATATATTGCGACATAAAAATTCAATTTCAGAAAAAGAGTCCAAAACTAGTAAACTTTAGGGATTTCAAATATTTTGATAATCAATTATTGTTCTTGGATGATTTAGGGCGTGTCCCGTGTCCAATGGGATGGCTTATATTATTTTGGTGATATAGATAAGATTAATTTTATGACTGAAAATCTAAGGAAGTTGTTCTCAACACATGCTCCCTGTAGGACTGTCAGGGTAACCAAGCCACCTGCCCCTTGGTTAACAACAGCAATTAAACACTTAGGGTCAACTGGGGTAAATGTGAAAAGGGGTAAATGAAAATACCTTGTATTTTCTGGCTAAGAGTGAATTTGACCTAAAATTGACATCATTATCCGCATTTCCCGCGTTTTGTTTAGCCAAGGGTGGTTTTTGAGGTTGAAATGGCAGTTGGTTCTGAAATGCGGCCATGTGAACATAACAGTGCAGTTTCAACTGAAAAACAGATTTGTGAAGGTTTTTTTTAGAAGTGAATTGCTGACCCAAAAACGGTAACTGTGATTCGAATTTTGATTTAGGTGATTGTTAATGTCATACTTGCTTAGTTTTAAACAAAAAACTAGAAACATTTTTCAAGTAGTAACCTACAAAATACTATTTACATTTACCCCCAAAGAATTTAGTGTTGGGGTAATTGTAAATCCTAAAATGGGGTAAATGTAAATGCAAATATTTCGGTAATCAGGTAGGTAGTGAGTGTCTTTACCACAAAATTGCCAGGATATGCCAAGTCCTAATTCGAATGCTAACGATCCTGATCAGCTACCTGACAATTCTACACCTATTAAAGGCATACACACATCCACCACCACATTCACTTCCAACACAATAGTTAGCATATTTGCTGAGCAAAGTAATAGTTACATTAACGTGTGACATTAACCAATCAAATGTTAAAAAGGTACAGAGGCAGATTCTACCGAGACTAAAACCACAAAACAAATGTATAGCGAAATTTTAACTACCCCACAGGTTCTAGAGAAAATGTAAACTGCTCAAAAGTTAAGAGATCAAAAGAAGGGGACCAATAAAAAGCAAAAAGATAAGAATGAGAATGGGATTAAAAAGGCATATGGTAAGAAAAGAAAGGTTGTTCATGAGGAAGAAGAAATTCAAGAAGAACTGTTAGACGAATCGGCTATGTGTCTCTTCTGATGAAGATTTATTAAAGTTAGTCATTACTGGAATCAATAAGTGAAGTTAAATATCATAAACCAGTTTGGATTGAATTAAAAACAGGGTTGTTTGTATTAGTAGATTTTCAGGGTAGAAAGAAAAATAAAATCCATGAGTAAGTTTGTTGTATACAAAACATCGATCAAGAAGAAGGAGATGTTACGGTTCAAGGGTTTCAGGAGTGAAATTCTACATCAACAGAGTTTGTTGAGAAGCCAAATGATATAAGTTACAACATTTGAAATGATTAAACTAACCCAAACCTTCAATATCGTAACAAAAAAGTCATTTATGTTTTTCCTGGGTCAGTAGCGGTTTTCGAAAAATAATGCTGGTAGCAGATTTGTGACTGTAGTGATATTAAGATAATGAATAGGTTGACATAGGTTAAGCCCACTGTTTAATGAGCTACTAGCTGTTATTTTTAAGTGTTTTTTTGTTAGTTTGTCCCTCTGATGCCCTTAGAAATTTACATATTTTATTTTTTCTGGGGTAAATGTAAATACCCTTCTTTTGAATTTTTTTTTTATAAAAACATAGTCATACTAAATTTGTTTTCATTTGCCCCTTAAAATTCTAGTATCATCCTAATACTCCATGAAACCTTCGTTTACATTTGCCCCTTTTAACCAGGGTAATTGTAAATGCGTGGGGTAAATGTAAATCAAAAAAATAAATAAAAAGTAATGTGCCAAATGACGGTCTGTCCTGGTAAATTAATACGTGATTCACTAACCGACACTGAATCCAAATTTCATAGATTTAGAAAATAAGAAACCTTAGATAATCACTACCAAAGTTAAAATTGTTAAAACTGTTCACAATTACCCCAGTTGACCCTAATGAAGGAAAGGGACAATGCTAAAGTTGGGGTCAAAGCAATAAGTAATACTTTAGAAAATCGTAACTATTATAAAAGCCTAAGAAATTTGACAAAGGCTGCTATTCGCCATGAAAAAGTATCATATTTAACTTTTTTTGAGGGTCAACACAATACTCGATTTAACACTCTTCATGCTCAAGTTGTGCCTTCCCATAATTATAAATAATGAAACCCGAGATGTAACCCATATTAAATTGCTGCCTAGAAATAGGATATTTTCCACAATATTGGAAAAAATCCGTGGTTACTCCAGTCCCCAAAGTGAAGAACCATGTTGGTGTCACTGATTTGCGCCCAATTAGTTTGCTACCGGATTTGTCTAAGGTTTTGGAAAGGGTTGTCCAACTACAAGCTTCAAATTTTCTGAAAAATAACAGTTTGGTCCCAATCCATTAGTCTGGTTTCATAGAAGGCTGTAGCACAACATCGGCTTTTTATTCAATATCACCGACAATATTGTCCGAGCGCTAGATGAAAAACAGGCATCCATACTGGTGCTTCTGGACTATTCAAAGGCCTTTGACCTGATCGACCATGACCTGTTGTGTGCCAAACTTTCTTTTAATGGGTTCGATGAGATTTCTACTTAATTCTTTAGGTCCTATTTATATAATAGATCCAAAGTTGTGTGAATTAAAGATAGTCTCTCACAACCTCGAGTTGTGATTTCTAAAGTACCCCAGGGGTTATGCTGACGACACCCAACTTCTATTAAATTTTGATCCCTTATACCCTGAAAATGCTGCAATGGAGTTAAACTAGAACTTGGAGAGAGATGTGAAGTTTTCTACAGAGCATAACCTTAATATTAACCCTAAAAAAACAGTTCTCCTTTTTTGCTCGGAAAGCAGGTATATTATCAATTTTAAAATGAAAAAAAAAAAAAATGTGTGAAGCACTTGTATTATCAATTTCCAACTAAGTATTGTTTTATAATCTACTATCCATTTCTAGATTTAGATAGGTACCAAAAAAAGAATCCAATATGTACAAAATACACGTAGATTTGTTTTTAGTTTAAGGAAATATAATTCTGTGTCAGTTATTATTTAACGGATTGGTTGGCTGAAATGTGATAATATGTATTGTCACAACTACCCGCTTTACGGGGGTGACATGGGGGGTTTGTAGCTTTGGGGATAGATGGAGAGAAACTCGCTCAGGTTATATAAAAATATATGCTATATATTTTCCCAAATATAACCTTACATGTACGCTAACCCTATAAGATACATGACCCTTCGTACACTGGGGTCCTTATAGGGGGCCACACGTCAATTCTGCTTGGGGGACTGTAGATAAGTTTATCGTCACCCTTATGCCTTGTCCAGAGGGGCGTTCCCAACGAGAGGTAATTGCACTGGACAACGATAAGGCTGAAGATACCCAGAGGGGCGTTCCCAACGAGAGGTACTTGCACTGGGGAGGCTTAATTCCAGAGGGGCTTTTCCAACGAGAGGTACTTGCACTGGTTTAAGTCTACCTTTGCTGCGGCTTGCAGCGCAATTTATATTAATTTATTGCTGAATTGCAATAAACATTCGATCGAATCGGCAATTAAATTAATAAGGTTGAATACCGGGTCCTCCTTTCCTAAGCAGCTAGTTGACAGTATGAATAAGACTCATTGATTTTCTTTAAAAAACTATTAGATTGTAAGGCTAAAGAGCCTGTATATTTGTATAAAAAAATAGAGTGTAGGGCTGATGCACATAATGTTCATAATTTGAACTTGAATTTAAGATACAAAGGGACAACTTTCAAACTGCCTAAATACAGAACTTCACTATTTCAGAGAAGTTTCTCTTATTGTATGGTGAAACTGCTGAACTCAGTTAACTTGCCTTGCAGAGAATACACTGTATATAAAGTAAGATTAGAATATAAGAAGCGATTGTTACTAAATAGCACATTTCAAACTTAAAAAAGAAAACTACTCCACAATGTGTAGGGATATCTTTCTACAAACAACTTCCGCCAACCAGTTGAAACATTTAGTATTACTTGAGTGTCGGTATTCAAGACAAAACTAGATAGTCAGTTCCCATAGTGCTTAAACCAGTACAAACACTCAAAAACGAACAGTTCTAAGACAAGATAAGTAACAGTGCAAAAATAGGCTTATAGGTCGCACCTTAGCCCATATCGACTAGATAGTAATAGTAATTTCGGAAAATCAGATACCAAGAATTTGCAGCTAATTAGTTGTGGAAACTTGCAATTGACCCAAGAAACTTACAGTCATTTGAAATAAAATCCACAAGCTAGAAGAATGAAATTAATACTGAAAAAAACTACCAATTTAGGGGTACCTAACTCAGGTAAACTCTATTCTAAATGGACAGAACGTTGTAACTTCAATGATGAGGATTGCACGGAATGATTCCTTTGTTTCTACTCTGTAATGCTTTCTTTTTTTTGGTCTTGATCAGATTCAGCCCATACTTCTTGAGAACTCAAGATAGGTACCCTTAGGGAGCCTCATGAACTATTAATGTTATCAGATTTAGTGAATTTATGGAACTCTGGAAGAAAGCAGTGGTCATTCCAATCAAGCCTCCAATTTACAAGAAAAATGAAAAATAAGCAAAAAACTTCGGATCAGTGTCTCTAGAATCAGTTGTTCACTTGAATTACAATAGAATTTCTGAATACTAGTGCCACATCCTAGATTAAAAACAATCTCCTGTTGTAACAAAATGTGATAAAGAAACATAAAAATATGTTTCTTAGAGCATAAATAATTTATAATGACTAAAAAAAATTATATTAGAAGAAAAACCCGTTTTAATTTACCTACATTATCAAAACCCAAGCCAAAACCACTTTGACATCTATTCTTTACATGCATAATTCATATTTCAGTTTCAGTCTTGCTAATTTTCATTTGCATGAATAGGTAGGTACCTAGTTGTGTATAAGGTACCTGTCCCAAATAAGGCCATGTTAAGAAGTTTTATTTTTTTTGAACACTATCCACCAAACCGGACAAAAATCACAAGCTTATATGTGAAGTGTTTCGCTTCTATTACTTGAATATTAACCCCAATTTATTTATTTTTACATATAAGTGGTGGTTTTTGCGTAAAACAAAGACCCTTACCATTGGCCTTATTTGGATCACTATGCTCCTAATAAGGCCACCAATAAAAAATGTTTAAAATAAATAGAATAATTTATGAAAATATAATTTTTTGACAAAAAGTACTCAAAATAGAACTTTAACGTTTGCTGCATTCTAAAAAAACAATAATTTCAAGTCCTGGGATGGTGATCCAAATAGGTCTACATACAACTAGGACAATTGAACCGCAGCTTTTCTTGCTTGGTTAGACTCCAGGCGCTCTAAAACACATCACTTAAGTAATAATATGACACATTCTTTCAAAAAAACACTGTGATGTGAAACCAATTGAAAATTTTTCATGTGGCCTTATTAGGAACATGTTACATTGATAAAAAAGTCAGTATTTAGAAATCTAGCAAAGATATTATTCTGTACTTACTCTGTAGCTTTCTCAATACATAAATGTCTGTGTATAAATTACATTCGCTCCATTCCCTTTATGAACATGTGTATAAACTAATTAAGTTCCAGCCTCAAAGTTATAAGGTAACATATGAAATCTGTGGTTAGCCATTTTTCGACATATAAGGATTTGCTAGGAATCCTCGCAATAATTTTTGATTTGCATTATAGATATTTTGAAGATGGGATTCAATATTGAGCAATAAGGGGCACTGGCCTTATTCGGTACATGACCTTATTTGGGTCAGGTACCTTACATATAAATACATAATAATATAGTTACCTATACTCTCCAAATTTTAATGTAGCTACCTATAGGTACTTTTTTTTCGAGTTTTTTTTTTAGGTCTTAGGACCAGTTTTATTCATCTTCAGATAAACTTACTGGTAGCTGCCTACAAGATAAATTTACCAATCTGTAACCCTGTTGATCGGAGGATAACTGGCAAACCAATAGGATCAGAGACTGGGTTTTATCTGTCAGATTGCATAACCTAGACAAGTTTCTCAGAAAGTGAATAAAAACTGGAAACCGGGCATGATTCATATTCAACAAAATTTTAATGAGTAATTTTGTCTGGGCCTGGATTAAATTGTGAGTAATCGAGTGATAAGCATATAATTAATTGGTCACAGTACCTACTTGATTTAAAAAAAAAAATCAGATCTGATAATTCATTAAAACCCGAGTTAAAACCTTTCAGTTTTTAATAAAAATCCGAGTAAAAATCCTAACTTTTTATCTAATTTCACAGACTCTAGCACTCATTGCAGTTTTGAGTTTTGCAATCTGTGCAAACACATACCTATAGGTATAATATTATAGTTTCGATTCCAAGGTATGAATGAATTGGAGAAAACTGTCTTGATATTGATATTTCGAAGTTGTGACTAATCTGCAAAAGTTTTGAGAAAATTGCAGTAATAGCTAGTTGTCAACACTGCTTACAACCCTCGATACAACCCAATATACAACCTCACTAGTCACTTATTATGACAGTTTCTTATGAATCATGAATCTACTGATCTTGTTTATTGGTACCCATCTTACCCATTACCCATCAACCCATCATGATGGTACCTATCCTATATTGGTTTGGTTTGGTGTTTAGTAGAGGCGTCATATTTAGGTACCTACATTTACGTAAGAATTCAGTCAATTCCAAGTGCAATAGATAGTGATTTTTAAAATTTTTAAATTTATCTAGCCTGTCTCTAATTATGAGCCAAAATAATTTGCTTGTTTATTTTTCAAATGCCTGAATTTGTCTTCTCTGAACCAGGTAAATTGATCTTGGAATTTGATATGTTACAACAGGTGTCGCCAACGCCCCCCAGTTGGTTGACAATGCCCCCCAGTTGGTTGACAATGCCCCCCAGTTGGTTGACAATGCCCCCCAGTTTGTTGACAATGCCCAGTAAACAAAATAGGAGAAAAAAAAAACCTATGGACTATCATAGATGTAATGGAAATTACTCGGGAAATTACTAATTTTTATACCTTTGTTCTGACATTGAATCAGTGGCGGCCAGTGGCAACCTAGTGTGGTTGTGCGCTCTTGGAAAATTTTTTGGAGGTGCCACGTCCTGTTTTACATTTATTTTGTATGTTGAATTTTTTTATCTTTACTTTAGGAAAACTTATCGAAAACAAAAATATATGTATTTAAATGAGGCTTGAATGTTTGTATTCTAGCCATAATACATAACTGATATTGAAATTTATAATTAAAAAAAAAACCGCGAACAACAGAGTTGTCAAACCGCCGAAATGGTGAAAAAACATCGAAATATTCTCGATTGAGTGGAAACAACATTGGAAGTGTGTATTCAAATAGCGCACGGCGCATCCCTTTCAGCGGGCTACTTACCGTATATTCCCGATCAATCACACAGCGAGAAAACACATTTACCCAGAGCGCCGAACGATTCCACACCGACCACCCGGACCACCAGCACAACCAAGCGGGAGAAAAAAATACACAAGACAGGCGCAGGGCGCGCTTTCGTTCCGTTCGTGCGAATTTAAAAATAAAAAAATGAGTAGATATTTATCCTAATTTAGAAAATTGGGTAGGTATTTTTTAATTGAAGTTTCTTTTCTTTCCAAAATTTTAATTTTATTTTCTTGCTTGGTTTTTGGAGGCAGTGCGCGCGCACGAGCGCACTTATTGAGAAGCCGCCCCTGCATTGAATTAAAAATATTGCATTTATAGGCGCATATTCAATCGGCTATTAAATTATTCAAATTAACATAAAATAATGTTTATCAGAACTTACCATGATGTATCTTCAAAGAATCGCAAAGAAACAAACAAACAAAAACCTTTTGTTTTCTTCAAACACGATATTCCGGGACGAGGTTTCACTTCTAACTATTGTTTTTAAAATAGAAAAGCCAGCACGGATACACACACACACTATGCAATTTTAAGACGATTTCCTACTTTTACAAGGTTACACACTGAATCGAGCGATTTTATGTTAGACCAAGAGCTCATCCTAACAACGTAATTTATAACAGAATCGTCTAAAAACTAAAAAGCCCTTATTGTAAGGCTGAACTAACCCAAAAAACGACGATGCTAAACACAAACACAAAATATGTTAGCAAAACCAGATTGGTTGGATTGAGGGGGGCCCTATACGCCTTGCGTCCTTGTATCTTGGCTTGCATTCTTTATTCATTCATTTTGTGCACTTGGTACAGGTCGTACCGTCTATGAGCATAATGCAGTTTATATGCAATGGTGCCACGTTTACGTTATGGTACTGATATAGGGTGACCTTAGGTGAATTTCATTGGTTGAAAACCTTAATGTTTGAAACCAAGGTTGTTTGAAAGAGGTAGGTTGGATGATAACTTTTATGACGTCATCTGGATGCCTAAAATAATGCAAATCTCCATTAGATCTTCCTTGCATTGCCTTTCTACAAGTGAGTCGGGAAGATAAGTTGCGACTAGAGGATGAGAATCCCCCCTCTGATGACGTTATCTGTTTACCATTACCAGACAACCTATTAACTTCAGAAACCTTGGGTTGAAATTAGTTTTCTGACTTGCTGACTATTTTCAACCAATGAAATTCGTGCTGACTAGTTTGTGATTGCTGCAGAAACAGACCTATTATGCTGTGTCTTCTTCTTAGCAACGTGGAATAGAGAGAGATAAAAAAGGTAGTTAGCATTAAAAAGAATAACTGCTCTGAGAAATGATGGCGTAAAGCAGGACGCGCACTGAATCGACTCGGACCGGTCGACTCGGCGAAGAGCATTCGGTAGTTTTTGATACTCATGCAATTAAATGAGACTCCGCGCACGGCATCGGACTCGTCGACTCGACGTGGTCGACTCGAGTCTCATTTAATTGCATGAGTATCAAAAACTACCGAATGCTCTTCGCCGAGTCGACCGGTCCGAGTCGATTCAGTGCGCGTCCTGCTTAAATGACGTAAATCGCAAATGTAGAAATGTCGTTAGTTATTGACAATTTTTCGTAATTTTTTTTAAAGAAAAACTTGATTATGATCGGATCCGAATCGCTGTACGTTTGCTGTACAGGGTGGTTGATTTTCGATGGTTTTATAGGGTACAGCCAAAATGGCCGCAGATAATGAGAAACTGATATACGCTTCCCGTCTTCTTTTTTAGTATGTCATTCAATGGTGTAGTCAGATCTTAGCCAACTAGATTGGTTTGCGAGGTACAGGGTGTTTTTCAAAATCAGCTTATTTTTATAATCCCCTATAACTTCTTACCCATCGGAGATATAAAAAAAGTGCAAAAAGGAAAAATATATGTTTTTTTACGTAGAATCCAGTGGCGTACTTAGAAAAAATATTAGAGTTCTATCTTCTGAGATATTCAAATAAACAGAGATTTTTCAAATGGAACACCCTGTATCTTATTGGTTCAGTAGTTTGGGAAAAAAACTGCGAGTTCAACGATATATAACACATGATATTTTGTTCTGTCCTAAATAGCGAAAAAGAAAAAACACTTTTTTTAAATTGCTTATGCAATAAATTGTTTATTTTTTGTTTTTAAAGTGAGATATTTTAACTTTTTTTTAAATGTTATACCTACCTTTTCTAAAATATCAAATACCTATACTCTATTTTTTCCCAAGATAGATTTTGACACTGTTAACTTTGAAACACAAACAATGCCGCTTATTGGTCGCAACATGTCATTTGCACGACATGCAATGCAAAACTGATTCCAACCTGCAGGGATACAGCATTTTGCGACCAATCAGGGACAAGCGTTATTGTTTATGTTTCAAATTTTTCGATGTCAAAGTCCATCTTGGGAAAAAATACACTTTAGTTGAAAAGTTTGTAAACAAAATATTATGTAAGAATAATTGAGACAATCATTTTTAATTGAAATAGGTAATAATTATTTATTATATTTTTTGTAAAAGCATAGAATCAACTAATTATGTTGTGTTGACTGCGACACCCTGTATCCACTACAGTAAAATGGTCAAAATGTCAACAATATTTCCTTTTTCAACAATATTATAATATTTAGTAGGTAATACTTTTTTGTCGGAATCAAATGTAGGAAAATACGAAAAAAGACTATATTTTGACAAGTTAATAATGATATGAGTGACATAGTGTGTTTCTGTTATTTGACAAATATTTTCAGTTTTAAAGTTAAGAATTTTCATTTGATTTATCATAACTTTATCATTTATTAAAATGGTGTTGTTCGAAAATCTTCATAAAGTTCACATGTTCAAGTGTTGCATTGAAAGCGGAAAAAATGAATATGCAGCTCTAAACTTATATTTTCAGAGATATCCAGAGCGTCATCAGCCAGAAAAGCGAATTTTTAGGCGCTTATATAATAATCTGTGTGAGTTTCGACACATTCACTAAACCTAGAAGCAAATTTCATAATATCGAAAATAGAGAAAATAATGAAATCAGTACTCTTGCTTGTGTTGCTGCAAATCCTAACGTATTTAGCAGAGAAATTGAAATGACGGTAGGAGTAGGCAAATTCACAGTTTTAAAAATATTTAAAAAACACAAGTTTCGGCCATACACTATAAGAAAAGTCCATAGTTTTAAAAAAAGGTATTTTTTGTTTTTTTTTGTTATTTAGGGTAACAAAATATCATGCATTATGTATCAGTTAACTCGCAATTTTTTTCCAAGCTACTGAACCAATAAGACACAGGGTGTTCCATTTGAAAAATCTCTATTTATTCGAATATCTCAAAAAATAAACTCCAATATTTTTTCTAAGTACGCCACTGGATTCTACGTAAAAAAACATATATTTTTCCTTTTTGCACTTTTTTCACATCTTCGATGGGTAAGAAGTTATAGAGGATTATAAAAATAAGCTGATTTTGAAAAACACCCTGTACCTCGCAAACCAATCTAGTTGGCTAATATCTGCCTACACCATCAAATGACACACTAGAAAAGAGGACGGAAAGCGTATATCAGTTTCTCAGTATCTTCGGCCATTTTGGCTGTACCCTATAAAACCATCGAAAATCAACCACCCTGTACAAAATCAAATGCTGGACAGACTTTGAAAATGCTGTACAATACAGCGAAATGCTGTACGTATGGTCACCCTATACTGATATCCAGTACTTATACATATAATGTTAGTTCTTATGATGGCTGATATGGAATGGATGCTGGATATATTTTTTTCTACTCAGCCAAAGTTTGGGTTCATGATAAATATACAAGAATGAATAGATAAATTATTTTCCGGTCAAGTTCTATGCGCCATAGGTGACCGGCAGAACACAATAATTAAATGGTTTCAGAATCGACGTTGAAAAGGTTGAAACCTTGAACACATCTTGCATTCTTCCATATATGCTGCTCATCCTACAGTACCTATTCTGCTGGACAGTTTACAGGTAAGGTTCGTTTCTCGAGGGTTCATACTTTTGTTATCGAACACGCCATAACTTGAAAAAAAAAGGATTGTCGTAGATTAATTCATATGACACATTCAATTTTTTTGACAAATTAAAACGAATTACTTCTGGCTTAAGAACCGACGAACGTTTTTGACGTCATTTATTTGTTTCAGTCAATTTCTATTTGTTAAAAAAGGAAGGCAAATTTTGTCAAAAGTATGAACCCTCATGAAACAAAGTTTATGTGCTTATTTCTATTTGGGTCTGCTCACTGGGAACCAGGTTAGTCATATCATTTAAGTTTTGGAGTTTCATTTATCATAGGACATTTTTGGATTCTCCTAAATTGTCTTTGATATTAGGAAAATATCGTCCGCAAAGCTAGGTGGCTGAGGTTTTCTTCATCAATGTTTATTCCTTTTCGTTCTCCCCAAGGCAATTTCTTAAAGGCGTGTTCGAAAAGTTTGATGTACACCTTGGGAGATATTTGTCGCCGTGTCTGACTCTCCTCTTTTAATTTCAATTTTTTGAGCAGTAAAGTGAAGATTAATTATTGTTGTCGGTTGTCGGTGAGTTTTTATAAATTATGTAAGTATTCTTGATAACACTGGATTAAGTAGGCTAGTTGGTCGGTAGTTCTATAACCTTTTTTATGTTGCAAGATCATAACTGAATTGTTCCAGTTATCGGGAATGTTTTGGCGATGCTGGCATAGATTTAATTTTTTTCACATAGTGCTCATCCTTCTCTTTCTATTGCCTCAGTAGATATTCCATCATCCCCATGAGCTTTATTATTGTGCATCTTCTTTGGAGCATTTTGTATTTCATCCATAGGGATATCACAGGAATACGTTCCGAACAAAGTTTTTCGAGTGTTAGACGTAGTTCATAATGGCTCACTTTGGTGTCAACAAGACCTTGGACAAGATTTGTGACCGCTGTTACTAGTTACCTACCTATTACCAGGGGGTCAAGACATAGTGCCGATAATGTGCAACATGCGTGAGTCAAGGTCCTAAAACGCTATCTAAAGTTCAAGTAAAGATATTCTTCGAACGAATCGCCATGGACTTAGCTAATCCATTCCCTGCGACAAGCAGTTGCAACAAACACACCCTGGTTATGATGAACTATTTCGGAAAGTGGTCGATTGAGGAGCAGTTGACAAGCATCAGGACGAGCATATCTCTATTTCTGATTGCACATACAGATACATAACACCACAACGTGTTGTTTGGAAGAGAGCTTGATTTACCTGTGACTTGGTGTTTGGGTTAGTTTCGCCGACATGGCAGCCGACGACTATGCTGACTGTTGTTATATTCATAGACATGTTATATCCTTGTTGTAAGGTATTCAGCAATAATTTTAAATGTTTCTTTTTTGAGTTTGATAAATTCAAGGACAAACGACAAATTCATGTATCAATTCCACTTCTTTTCTGTCCCCATTCGAGAATTTTCATCCCAGAATAAAGATTTTAAGAGTTACAGGCAACGGTTCGAAAATTATCTGAAACTCAAGAATGCTTTCGATGATAAAGATTATGTAGCTCAGATGTTGCTCAATTCTTTAGGATTTACGACTCACAGTACCCTCATAGCCCTAGTGGCTCCAGAAAAAACCAGATGAATTCACCTATGATGAGTTAATCGAGTATCTGGAAAAGCACGTATGCCCCAAGAAAAATGTTATGATTTCTCAGCATAGATTTTTATCAACTTACCAACGTGAAAATCAATTTATTTCCGTTAAGACGTGATACTTTGGGACTGCGATTTTATATCGCAGCTAATGTTGTCGATATTTTTCTCGGAGCACAGTTCGTCAGACGAATTTATAACCATTCGATCCGTGAACAGTTGCTTCAATCGACTACCGATGATTTCGACACATTATTGACAAAAACCTCGGCGCTTGAAACATGAAAATTAGCTACTAAAGAGATATCAAATACAGGAAACCTAAAATTTGACCCAATCAATAAGGTTAATCATTTTTCGAGGAAGGATTCATGTTTTCAGAACTGTTTACGTCAGAGGTGCCTGTCAGGAATTAGCAACAAAATTTTTTGTCACTGTATTAATCGAAAGAAAGTCCCAAAAGTATGAAGTCGGCTCTAGATGCTGGGTTTACACTTCTACCAGTTTCTAGTTTCAAAGCACTTGATTTACTATTGGCAAAGAGTACGTTTCCGTCAAATATCAAAATAAATCATCGACTGAAGAGCTATACATAGTACCTACTAGATAATTTTGAACCACCAATAGGACGTATTTGGATCCGACATCTTGGAATCAACTTACAACAAATTGATACTAGAAGTATAACAAATACAAACCAGCTTGATACCGATAGAATATTAAGTGTGGAGGAAATAGCACAAAAGTGTTCAGATATATTTGAAGAGAGGATTGATTTAGTTCCAAATTATACAGTATTATTAAATCTTGGAACTGATGCTATAACCCATCAATCCATAGAGAACAAAAAGTACCGTATGCTCTTCGAGATCGTGTTGACAGAGAACTAGATATTTTAGAAGCTGATGGTAATAATGTCCAAGGTAAATGTCAGCAATTGGGGTTCACTATTAGTTGTAATTCCTAAACCAGATCAAGGGATACGTTTGTGTGTTGACTATGAAGGGGTAGTTAACAAATGCTTGGTTTCACCAAATTATCCGATTCGACGTATCGACGAGATCCTGAATACCTAGTTCAAGAAATTCTAAATATTTTTGTCGTTTAGATCAAGGCATATTTACACCGTCGAGTAGATGATGAAAGTAGCCTGATTTAAAATAATACCACGCACCGTAATACATACAAGATGCATAGATTGCCATTTGGTATTAAAACAGCCCCATCTGAATTTAACCGGATTATCAATCAGACTCCAAACTCCAAACGGCTTACCAAAAACACTTTCATATTTCGATGACATAATAATACATGGATTCACGAGAGAAGTGTGTCAACATAATCTTTTATTATGTTTACAGCGACTCAAAAATTTCGACTTACATTTGAATGAAAGGAAAGGTGCATTTTTCCGAACCAGCATCGAATATCTTGGGCATGTGATGCAACATAATCAAATATCCAAATCTCCAGCAAAAGTTAAAGCCATAGTTGACATGCCTAGACCCAAGGATATAGATGAAGTCGTCGTTTTCTTGGTATATATGCTTACATATTATTCTCGATTCGATTCATACCAAGTGCATCGACCAATGACTTATCCTTTACGAAAATTTCTTCAAAAAAAACAAAAAGTTCTATTGGAATCGTTCTAGGCATAGCGAGTGATCGTTATGACCCCATTTGACACCTGTTATGTTATGTGTATTTGGTTTTCTGTCAAATTCAATGAAATTTTGATATGTGTTAGACCTTGACTTCCTGATAAAATGTTCTCATGGGCCCGAAATAATCCTATGATTAGTTTTTGAGATACAGGTAGTTTAATGTCCCAGAAATATACAGTAAGAATCATTTCAATTGGCACACACTATATAAACATCCCCCGTAATGTGTACCAAAATTTTACTTCATTGACACACAGATAATATAAATATCGTGACAGATTGATAAATCAGTGATGATCATAATAGTTATAGTTATAAACTGTTGAAGGTGAAAGCTGCAGGTAAAATTTGAGGTACTTGGTTTCTCTAATAGAATTTTTAAAATTTTTAGAACCACATATGTTGGACACGGTTCAACCAAATACAGACAAACTATATAGTTTTGGAATCGGGAAATTGTGCTCTTCAAGAATATAGAAACAAATATAGGGCATCCCATTTGAAAAAAGCTGAAAGCATGCAACATTTCACATTTCTGACATTCAATTTTTGTTTCTGACCATGATTTCTAAAAACTAAGCCAATACTGTACAACTTTTGTATTTACAGCTTTCATCTACTTGTAAAGGTGAAGGCTGTAGGTGGGGTGTCAATATATAATAAATTGTTAAAAAAAAAAAATTAAGTCACAAGCTTTTATATAATGCACTAAAAATTAAAAAATAATTTTCCAGCATTCTGATATTATCATAATAATAAAAGCGATGGCCGCAAATCAAAGCATAAGTTAATCTAAATTTGTGATCTAAACACTTAAAGAATATTCAACATAGCAGGTCATCAAAGATATGTTTGATGTGCCGCAATGTTATGCCATTACCCATTGCCATACCTATGTCAGAGAAATGCTGGGGTATCTTGGGTCGGGTTGGGTGGGTTTGGTACCTCTGCATTTTTCTGCTAGACAGATGTTGCAAATAGTGATATTTAATTGATACGGATATCTTATCGTGATAACATCGTCAAAATTTCCATGAGTCGGCCATCGCTTTTATTATTATGAGAATTTCATACATCTGTCAAAACTGGTATTCCAACAATGAATTGACATGTTTTGATTGTTGATGTGAACCAATCAGATTGTAATTACGCGATAATTTGCACTAGTGCAAATTATCAGATAATTGCATACTAACTGGTGCGAAAACTGGTGTTTTGACATTTTTTGACAAAAAATTTAAATTTTTGATTTATGAAATTCTCTCATTAAATACAACTCGTGCAATGGAAATATATTTATAATTTTCGACAAATTTGCACTCATGCTCAAATTTTTTTTTTTTTAGCAATTTATTTTCTACTTTTTAGTCTCAGCTATCTACCCTAAAGCAGTCCTCGGCGCATTACAAACCTTGACTTGGGTGGTGTGACACTAGCGACACATCATTTTTAGCCAACCTAGTGTCATACACTCCTCGACGGGCCACTAACCTTGACTTGGATGGGGTTCTGTTGTACAAACGGGCATCAAAAAGTCTTTGAGAAACAGTTTCATTTATGGATAGGGTGTGGGAAGAGGTGACAGTAGCAATAAAATAACAGAACAGAAGAGTTTATACTAGATTATAATGAAATCGCTGATCGTGAGTTGTTTGGAAACTCATTTTTCTATTGGGGGGGGAGGGTGGGGGTAGAGGAGGGTGGGGGTAGAGGTAGAAATATATTTTTTGTTTGCGCTGTATTGCCATCGGACCTTTATGCATATACCAAATTTTATAAAAGTCATTTGAAGTGAAGTGTGTCAAAAACGCATTTTTCTATGGAAGGGGGTGGGGGTAGGGGTGGGAGGACATTTTATTCTTATTGTTGTATTGTCATCGGACCACTATATGTATACCAAATTTCATCCAAATCGGATAATGGGAAGTGTGTCAAAAACGCATTTTTCTATGGAAGGGGGTGGGGGTAGGAGTGGGAGGATATTTTTTTTCAATGTTGTATTGTCATCGGACCACTATATGTATACCAAATTTCATCCAAATCGGATAATGGAAAGGGTGTCAAAAACGCATTTTCTATGGAAGGGGGTGGGGGTAGGGGTAGGAGGATATTTTTTTCTTAATGTTGTATTGTCATCGGACCACTATGTGTATACCAAATTTCATCCAAATGGGATAATGGGAAGTGTGTCAAAAACGCTTCACAAGATTTGATAGATAGTTAGACAGAACATGTGAAGCTGAATAAAAGCTTGTAAAAAAACACCCTCTACTTGAACAATAACTTATTAAATAAGGTCAGAATTTGTAAGCAGATTATCCACTTTTTGTCAATTTGCCTTTTAACAAGAATTAGTAATATTACTTTACTAAACTAGTAACATAATGACAAGTTATTCGAGTACAAATGAGTGAATTGTTGCGGAACTTATGGGTGGACCTCTGCGGGACGAGCGCAGCGAGTTCTGCAACCATCTATTTAGCAATATGTTGTTTAATTACTATACTAACCTGACTCACTCAAATGTGAGTTATTCTCATTAGTTTAAAAACTACACGTTTCAGGTGAATGTCTTACTGGAACAGTTCAACATTATATTGGTGAGTAGATGGCTGCGGAACTCGCTGCGCTCGTCCCGCAGAGGTCCACCCATAAGTTCCGCAATAATCCACTTATTTTTACTTGAACAATAACTTATTATGTAAAGTCAAAATTTGTAAGATTATCCGCTTTTTGTCAATTTGTCTTTCAATAAGAATTAGTAATGTTACTTTACCAAACTAGTAATATATTGTGACAAATTATTCAAGTACACTGAGAAAACTTCCAGCCAAAAATTGTTTACTAGTGTATTTTCAGCTATCATAGCAGAAATTTTAGCTGAAATTGCAAAACGATCGTATTCTAGTTGTAGGATGCACTTTACTATGTTAACATAATGTCACTTTGCTGTAACAGTAAAAAAAAATTCTGTCACTAATAGTTTTTTCCTGATACAGTAGAAACACTTATTATTAATAAGTATGTTTTCTACCGCGGCAAAGTGCAGCAACTATGAAAAAGTTTTTTATAAGTTTTTTTAATTCAGGGTGTCACGAAAGGTTTGTTACAAACTTCTAGGGATGGTAGATCTCGTAAAAATAAAACTTTTTTCTTAATAAACATGTTTCCGGAAATGCTTCGTTTTCCAGATATACAGGGTGGCCCGAATTTGGGCCTCATCATTGGTATCTCGGTAACCGTAAGAGATACGGGGTTGGTTAAATTATGGCAAAGTTGCGCAATTTTATGACCAATAGAATACCGTTTTAAAACTAGAAAG